GAGGGGGAGGGGGAGGGGGAGGGAGAGGGGGAGGGAGAGGGAGAGGGATGTGCCCTGACTGGAATCGAGCGCACAATCTTTCGGCGTATGGGATGATGCTCCAACCAACTCAGCCACTTGGCCAGGGCTCAAATCATGTTTAAAAACTGCATTCTAGTTATGAGATTCACAAGAGATACTAAGTTCCAAAGTGGCTTTTACTCCCTCCGTAATAAAAGTAAAATTTAATTAATTTGAATTGTGCTAATGATGGAATTTGTTATAATGCAACCTGGCTTAAAGTATTATGTATTTCTGTCCTATCTGTGCGGGGTAAGTAAAATTATAGAGGGCATGCACTATTACTTTGTAAGAAAAAACTGTTTTAAGGTTTTAGCATCTTGTTCTTATCCAAATAAATTCCTACCAAATAAATATGTTTTTAAAAAGGATATGTACATCAATATCAAAAAAGCATTTCTTTAGACATCCAAAGACACAGAATGTCATGGGCACTGCATGGGACAACTAAGAAGGAGCAGTTGCTGCCCCAGGGTGGAAGAGGCTAAGATAAAGGGCTCACTCTCAGGTGAGAAGCAGGTTTGGGAATGTCAGCGTCAATCCTATTTCTAATGATACTCTAATAGATAAGAGAGTCTAAAAAGTATAAAGATTTACAGTGCCAATGAATCGTTCTCAACCACTTCTAAATCACTTTGAAGCAATGTTTGCCTATGATGCCTGAAAAAAACGGGCAATAACAGTCAATAAGTACAATTCTGCACCAAATGTTTTATTGCAGGGATTTCCGCCCAAGTTCCTGAAACTATCAAGGAGTTCTTTGTAGGGCCCCCTGTGACTGCGGTCCATATGTATAATGGCCTGTGTGTGGGGATTCCTATCACACCTCAAGTATGATGACCCGCTGACAGAGTCAGCACCACAGTTCTTTGGCTTTTCAGAATAAGGATTCTCATATGATAGCAGCAATACTTTTAGTATTTATGGCTTGACAAAATACTTAATAACAATGAAGCATTATAAATTCAGTAATACTTTCAGTTTATATTTTACTCATTATAGCAGTCCATGCATGCATTTTTAAAACAGTATGCATGCATTCGTGAGACACTCTTGACTATGTCTACAGATGATTCTTGCTGGGCATGTGCTTCCATAGACCCAATGCTTCCCATAAGCCCCCGGTTGGGAACCACTGGTGAAGCCTGTCAGAGTACCGAAGCCTCTACTACTCTCTTACACTGAGGACGGCCCACTGCTCAAATGCAAGTGCTTCTGAAAATAATAATACATTAAGTTATCATCAGTCATTTTCACCTTAGTGTAAACTGGCTTATAACAAGCTTTCCCATTAAACAGAGGGCTAAATGTAGTTTTCATTAGCAGGGAAGAGGGAAAAGTTGGCCTTAAGGAGATCCAAGGCAGAGTTTACCGACTTTATTATTTTCCTAAGAGACAGACTCAGACAGCCACTCACTAGACAGGGCTTAGATGACAGCCACCCCTATTCTCACAGAGGTGGTCTAAACCTTTCTGATCCCAACCTGGACAGAGCAGTGATTTTCAACCGGTGTGCCACAAGAATTTTTAAAACATGCAATACCTGACTACTTAATCAGGAGCACTGACCTCTTTTCCCTTTACCCCTCCATGAAATTTTAATGCCACAAATATATACTTACTTATATGTTATATATATAGATATATATACTGTGCTTTATACATAAAAAGTAAGATATTTGGGGCATTTCTGCCCCCAAGAACCAATTTCTACCCCCTAGGGGACAAAACTGCTCCTGCTGAGAGCCCATGAGTTAGAAGAATTGGGATTAGGGGGTGATCATGTGGCTCTTTGTCCTGGCAGGTGTCACACAGCTAGAGAAACAGTAAAGTCAGCTTCTTGCCGAAACCCCCAAACGCATGCATACATTTTTTTTTTTTTTTTTAACAGGAAGGTTACAATGCACCCCTACTATTCCAGCTAAGTAAGCAGAATGGCCAAGCCTAACTTAGTAATCTGTGATCAATTTACCTAGCGGCTTTCAAATCACCAGTACAAATCACTGGATTGTTAAAGGAAAATATTTGCGGTACATTAATGACATAAATCTAAGAGGTTTTTGCTATGCTACCTCAGTGAAAACAGATGGTACAGGAGGTTGACAAAAAACACATCTCGAAAGTTGCCTGCAAGCTCCTCTTCCTGAGACTCCAGCGCCACTGACCAGCCAGGCTGTGCAGCTCCCTGACTGCCTCGGTCCTCATTATCCTCCCTTCTACTCCAGCTCATCACCAACCTGAAGGTCTGGGAGGTTTGAAGCTCACCCAAAAGGAAGTTTCAGGATTATCTGCTGTATCTGCTGCTCCAATTCTAGTCACCATTGAGAAGAGAAACACTGATACCAATACAATTAAAATACCAAGCAGAATGGTTCCTTTTTAAAGTGTGTACTTACTATATTCTACTCAAAAGCCACATTACTGAAATTAAACATAGTTTCTCATAAATACAGTTTTACAAAGAGACTTAGACTACGGGGCCTAACAGTCAGTGGTACTAACATTATCTCTCAGATCACTCCCCTGTGTACAGAAGTGATTAGTATTTTTGAAGTCTTAGTCATTTTAATATGCCTTGAAGATAAAGTAATTCTTTTAATATACTTATAAGACATCTAAAAAGTCCCCCACAGGAGGAAATACTCACTCTGGTCAACCTAGGGTCAGAGCATGCATAAATCTACATAGCCACAGCTTTTAAGTCTTGGACAAGGACTGTTTTCAGAGTACATTGTAGCTTCTGTATTTTGGTTTGGAACATTCTGGTAGACCAGACTTTAAGAAGCTAGATGAATCCGAGGTCTGGTACATGGAAGTTACAGCTCCCTACAGAACGGTGTTCATATTATGCTCCCTAGGCTACAGTGGATATTATTATACAGATTAAATACATGTGAGAAAGACTCATTGGCAAATAAATATGAATCCTGAAGTCTATAGAATTCCCAACCTATGTTAAGGAAGGTTCTAGAGGTCAACCACACTTAATATTTCATACCAATTAGACCTATTTTCAGCTCAAGGTTTCAGAAGATAAGCTAAACTGGTTTTTGTTGGTTGGCTGAATCAGTTGGTCTCTGGCCTCAGTGGTCTTCCTTAAAATATTTTACTTTTGTCATTCTGACCAAAAGTGTAGCACATCTTATCAGACAAAGAAAAACACTTTTTACATATTTCTTTTGTAGCATCTCATTTCATTCCATTAGTCAAGATTTTACCAACAAAGCGGAAAGGTAATATGCCAAATACCTCAGTATGATTGGTAATACTATTCAGAGGGAGAAAGCACAAGTTCTAGTGTCAAAGTCAAGGTTGCAGTCCTGTTTCTGTCACTTATTGTATAATCTTGGGCAAACTGCTTAATCTTTCCAAGTCTCAATGGCCTCACCTGTAAAGTGAGAATAATAACACATGTGGTTCACAGGGACACTTTTAAGATTAGTCAATAGAACACACAGAATGTTTAGCATATAGCTTGGCACATAGTAAGTGTTCAATAAATGTCAGCTCCATTTTCATAAATGGTCTAAATTACCGGAATAATTGCCTCAGCACTATGCTTCAATTTGGCCTAGGAAACCTGGTCACTATTGAGCTCTATTTTAATCTTTGATTTCCACTGTTTCTATGGCACCAGGGTGCAAATTCATCAGAACTTGTTATTTATCCAGCATCGCAGGTACACAGGGTACTGTGGGGTAGGAAAAATGCAAACATCTGCTACAAAATCCTGTGGATTAAAGATTACTTACAAGTGAAATTTTTCTATTATCTAGTAGTTACCACCCCCATCTCTTCTCAGAATTGTGGCATTAATTTGAACATGGTTGAGAATACTCAACTTAAAAAAAAAAACTCCTTCAGGATAGCTCAATGGAAAACTGATGGAGTACACACAATGCCCACCAGACAGTGGTACTTAAATATATGCTGCTGGCTACCAGGAATCCTTCCTCGAACCCCACTTTTTAGTGATCTGTTCTGCAGGGTAAGCAAAAGCTTATACACCAAAATTTTAGTAGTAGGCTGACAGTAACAAACTAGAATAGTAAACATCCTAGGCTAAAATAAAATAAAATAAAATAAAATAACTCAATGATGACAATGACAGAAATCACCATTTTGTGAGCAACTACTTCCACAAATTGTGATAATCAGCTTACATACACTACCTTTACTTCAGATAAAGACCCTAGGTTTCATCCCCACCTGACAGATGAACAAATGCTTCAAGAAATTTAAGTAAAGCCCAGCCGGGTGTGGCTCAGCGGTTGAGCATCGACCTAGGATCCAGGCAATCGGGGTTCGATTCCCGGTCAGGGCACAGGCCCAGGTTGAGGGCTTGATCCCCAGTCGAGGGCATGCGGGAGGCAGCCGATCAATGACTCTCTCGTCATTGATGTTTCTCTCTCTCTCTCTCTCCCCCCCTCTCCTTTCCTCTCTCTGAAATCAATAAAGATATTTTTTAAAAAAAGAAAAAAGAAATTTAAGTAAAAAAACAGAAGTGAATGCAAAGCTTGTCTTTTTCTACTGCATCATGGTCCTTCAACTAGTGGTAGCAGAAAATGCTATTAATCGGCAAGAGTTAGGAATACCACCTCCTCCTATGTCTTCACCAGTAAGGTTATGTCAGACAACATTGAAAAGGTTCATAGATAAAGCCAGGCTAAGAGATTCCCTGCACGCCACTAGATCTAGAAAAAGATAAAATGAGGAAGTCTTCAAATACAAGAAAAAGATAATACCAGAAAGAACTTATTTATCAAGTAATACATGCTAAGTCCTTAAAAAGAGATGAAACCAAAAATCCAACTTAGTTTATAGTTGGATTCATTAACAACATATGCTCATGTCATCTGCTTTTTAGAATCACCCAGGGAAGTTACAAAGCAAAAACACTATCATCGTATTTTATCAATGATGAAACTGCAGCCCAGGGAAATTAGTTCCACAAACAAGCACAAAGCCTGGCTGAACTGAACTCCCACTGTGGAACAAAGACGGCTGACTGCGAGGTATGTGGATCTCGACGACACATACCATCTCAAGGACCTGGTGTCCTAACATCTTAGGTGAAGATACATTCCCCCAGAACAATGTCCCATTCATCCAAAGAACAGTAGATCTCATCTACCACACACTTTCAGTTCTTTTGAAAATGCAAAAGACATCGAAGAATATTCCATGTTCCCACATCTTCTCTAAAAAACTTCCCACCTGAAACAAGACAAACCATTTACTTGGTTATCTCGTAGGCTCAAAACAAACCCTTGATTATCAATACGACCCACTCCAACCCCTGGCCAAACTTCCTGCTGCCCTTCTCTAATTTCCCCGTCTCACCACCTAGTAAGCAGAACCACCGTTCGCCCAGCCACTAAAACCAAACGTTTAGGATTCACCCTTGAAGTTGAGCTTTTCCTTGCTCACCATCTCCAAACCACCTACAAGTTCTGCCCATCCTATTTCCAAAAGATATCCCCACCCCCACCCCCAC